AGAGAGTGTGAAAGAAGTGGCATTTTGTGAACCCTAGGCTGAGTGTAAGAGGAGCGACATTTTGTGAACCCTGGACAGAGTGCGAGAGGAGCAACATTTTGTAAACATTTGACTGAGTGTAAGAGGAGTGGCATTTTGTAAACCCTGGACAGAGTGCAAGAGGAGCGACATTTTATGAACCCTGGACAGAATGCACGAGGAGTGGCATTTTGTGAACCCTGGACAGAGTGAAGAAGGAGTGGCATTTTGTTAACCATGGACAGTGTGATAGGAGTGGCATTTAATGAACCCTGGAGAGAGTGTGAAAGAAGTGGCATTTTGTGAACCCTGGCAGAGTGAGAAAAAGGAGTGGCATTTTGTGAACCCTGGGCAGAGTGAGAAAGGAGTGGCATTTTGTAAACCCTGGGCAGAGTGAAGGAAGATTGGCATTTTGTGAACCCTGGAAAGAGTGTGTGAGAAGTTGCATTTTGTAAACCCTGGGCTGAACCCTGGAATGAATTTGAGAAGAGTGGCATTTTGTGAACCCTGGAGTGAGTGTGAAAGGAGTGGAGTGGCATGGCAAAATTCTTGAAAATTTAATTTTCATGAAATTGAAGCAGCTTACAGTATCCATCAAATTAACACCAAGTCAGAAAATGTATAAACCGGAAGCTACATAGAGTATCAAGTATTGATACATTTCATACAACACCTTTGGCACTGTCCTTGGTGATATCATCAGAGGGCGAGTCAACCTCGTCTTCTACTTTGTAATAAACACGATCAGCTCCTTTCCACTCTTCTGACTTTGGTTTGATGATATAGGATGAAGGCTCTGTGTTGGTGAGACTGCTTTTAAGAAAAGCTAGTACTTTACTGCTACGGCGACCTACCAAAGAAAATGAGCAAATTATTGTAATCAGCAAAAAAAAGGTTCACAACATAGACTACAGTGGTGGTATTTCTTTCCTCACATCTACGTTACAGGGAAGCTAATAAGAGATGTTTACAGCACATTATTATTCTTTCTCTTGACCTTACCTTTAAAATCATCTCAACTTGGACACAAGCATGTAACATATGTCAACACAGACAGACAGATAATTGACAGACGACACAACATGCCACTAACTTGTTGTCCTAACACCAACATTGGTATAAACCTATCATCAAACTTGATAGCACTATTGTACTTTCCTACCTGACTGTATTTTGGGTTGCTTCCCAGTCTCTAGCTCCTCTGTATTTTTTAGTATTGTCGGTTTCTGAGATCTTGGTCTGTTACTGGGACTTGAATTGGAAGAGCTGACTGTAGATCCCACGGACAGGTCTTTGCATGCCTTCAATGACTGTTTCATTTCAAAAATCTTTTGCTCATAGAGTTTACAGCTGATTATGAAACAAAGAAAAGAGTGATATTATTTCAGTCATTTTTTTTTTGCATTTCAATCAATTATTATCAAATGACTAATTTACATAGCTGCAATATTAGAAACTTCAACTTTGAGGGCAGTAGATTTATACAATCATAATTAACCCATCATAATCATAATTAACCAATCATAATCATGATTAACCAATCATAATGATCTAAATCACACTGTGATCGTGATTCAAAATGTCTGACTGAAGGACTCAGATATGATCCACAAGTGTGCTGCTTTTTAAACTGCTGATAGGAAAACGTAGCATGATGAACAGCTTCCATTTTTGTATGATTTTATAGTGAAACAAAAGTGTCAGAAAATCATGATGCATGTCTAAATCTTATCATAATCATGCAAATTGAATGCACCTCAATAAGTATAATGCTAAAATTCAAATTCATCACATAACTCAACACTGAGGTCAGTAGACAAGTGAAATTAAACACTGAGGGCAGTAGAGAAATGAAATCAAACACTGAGAGTAGAAGAAAAGTAAAATTTAACACTGAGGTCAGTAGACAAGTGAAATTAAACAAAAGGGTGTAAAATGGTCTCAACACAACACTGAGGGAGTAAATCACCCAAAGTGAACAGCAACGTGTCTCACCTGATTGCATATGCAATAATAGAGCTAGGTTCATTGTCAAAAACAACTACTGGAAGCTGAGATCCTGGTGGTAAAGTATAATGCTCATCAGCTGGGCTGAAAACAAATTCACAAAGAAATGATTTACCAGGTAAGCATGTTAAAAAGCTTAAATGACATCTCTCATATTCATGTACCCCCAACTGATTAGAAGAGCACCAGTCATGTGAAATGAAATAAATCACAATCATACCGACATTCCACTCCAATGGTGTCTACAAGTAGATATATGAACCATTATTGGTTGGCGAGTTCTAATATTTTGAAAGTACAAGTACAAAAAAAGTATGAACAGGTTCTCCGGACTATTGTGTCAGACTGTTGCTGTTGAAACATTGGCGTTGAGATCAATAATTTGACAACTCTCGATTTCAAGATGACAAAACAATTATTAACTGTTATCTCCGGGTAGATGAAAACAATTATAAGATTTGGGGTATATTACGAAGATTTGACTCCCTGATGTGTCAATTATGCGTCACTGTGAATAATCAGGGTCACATCAGGGCAGCTTTGAGCCCTACCCCACAGCATATATTATCCCCTTAGAGACTTAAAAGCTGATGCCATAATGCTTTTATTAGGTATACAAGTTACTTGATACATACCAGTATAACAAATGTTACAACTTGGAATCAGATGAGGTGACCTGTACCTCAAAGAGTTTAAGGAGTACAGTACTTACTATGGACATGCAAGTGGTGTAAACATGGGTCCAGACAGGAAGTTAGCGAAGATGTTTTTCATCGCAGATCTTTTATCGGCCAATTTCGGTGTCAAAGTTTCATCACTACCGGCATGTACATTGCTGTATTCCGAGGTGTCTGTACTACTCCCATGTGGTGCCGACACTGCAGAAGTGAACACAGTCAAGATTCAATCAGTCAATGCAACAAACAATATGTGCAGGAAAATTATTTTCCAAAGACTTCTTTTTTTCCTTTTTCATGCATTCACTTTGCCCTTTTTGTCCATTCTAGAAATAAACACCCCCAAATACATGTATATTTATTGATTATCAATATGATAAAATTAAATGTAAAACAATAAATGTAAAAAAATTGTACAATTGTACTTGCATTGTTTGATAAAGTGTGGTTTCTCTCCTCCAAGTGAACTGACTCTTCTGTGAGACAATTTGTCTGGTGCTCTGTCTTTCTCATTTGACTTTACTATATTATCTGTAGTCAAAATAATAACATGTCAATGCTTGCACTGCTTATTTTCACATCCACTTTGCTATCAAGAGACATTAAACAAGAAAACAACATATGAATGTGTTCAATAATGGAATGATTATTTACAAAGTCTTGGGACTATAATGTGAAGTTTTTTATTCAAATTTTGCAAGAATAATGACAATCACTTTTCAATGATTTTTTAATGAGTCTGAATATCCATGATCATTTTTGGTTTCTGTTCTGATGCATATAAATTCACAAAAATCTTGCTTCTGCTCAGAATTCCTACACGACAATATTGATTCTACGTGAATCTTCAAATATTTCCACTGAATTGTGCATATTCATACCGTGAAATTCATCACTTTTGATCATCTCATTTGTTCATTTGAAACTATGAATGACTTGCAATGACCATCTAGCAGTGTCTGATACAAAGATGTCACGTCAACCACCCCAACCAGTAATTTCAGTCAATAACATTTGTTCATTGAACACAAAATATAACCATGGAAATTGTTTATTGGGCAATTTGAGGTAGATATCTACCATTAAAACATTAGAAACAAATGATCCCAGTAAATCATTAGGTTTTTATGGAGAAAGATGCAAAATAGTCTAAAAATCAGCCATTTTGGAATATTTTCCATAGGATTCCATGAAAACACATTATTCCATGGATAACTTATACTTATGTTAAAAATTTTCCAATTTTTCAAGACCGCTATATGTAGCCTTCATATGTATCACTTTTGTTAGCATACTGGTAGGTCATCAAACTAAATATTGAGATATTGGAATGCTTCTGTTATTTAAAAAAACACACTTTTTAATCAATTTTCAAAGTCACTTTGTGGAACACTTTGGTTTGGTTTGGTTATCATATATAATTATTTCAGAATTTTGAACAATACAACTCCTCTTGCTGGAGTATTTTTTTTCAATGGTAGCAAACTACCTTAAGACAGCTTAGTACAAATGTTTGTAAATCTGATTATTAAATTATTTTGATGTTGTATCTCATTGAATGATCAATAGTACAAAAGGGTAAAAAAAGACAATCTCACCACTCTTTCGTCTTTCCCTATCTGCTTCATGTTCTTCAATGAGTTGTTCTAATTTACACTGCGGTAACTGCTGTGATGACGATGGTGATCCTGTCACTAAGGTACTTGATTCCGCAGAGTCGTACATGAAGGATGGGGTCAAGGGGCTGCTGGTTTGTGGCCCCCAGGTGGATGCTCGGTGTATCGTGGGTCGTAGTAAGGATCGGAATTCAGGTGGCTTTTCCTGGTTTGTAGTATTTTGTATTGGTGATGGTGTTTCCACAGTGACCACAACAGATGAAGAAATCTGTGAAAACATAAATGACTTTAAAATAATTGAGAGATGGAATTATGTTCAATGGACTAATCAGTGCTGGCTTTTCATGAAAAGTAGGGTAACCAACAAAATTGCTTGGTTACTTCAACCAATTTATAAAAATTAGAAATTATTTCCATTGGAGAACGGTAGTTTATCCCTTTACTTTTACAAGTAGACTCTTCTAATCTAAATTTTAAAGAAAACCCTGCAGTGACGTTCATCTGTATGTAGATGTAGTTTCTGAAGTTCTGTGAGAAACTGTGGAGTTCGTCTTTAACATCTTCTGTTGATGCCTTTTTTTTTTCCAATCATTCCAGCTATCCGTGGGGGCTCTCAGC